ATTCTGGTCGAAAGGTTTGATATAGTAGTAGTTTGCATGACACAAAGTGGCTGACTAACACTGGATAGGTGCTGATCAAGTCCAATTCCTAATGCGCAATGCTGAACAGATTATCACCATTATATCTGCGGCATTTGGAGAGGAGATCTTCCGCTTAGCAGCTTTGCAAGATGTCTGTGCCTCGGCAGATACCGATGTTCAAGAGTTGGCATGCCGGTGGCACCAGATATCCGAAGCTGCGAAGCTGGCAGAGATTAATGGCGCCGCCGACCCTAGATGGATCTCCCAGACGTCTACAGTAGGTTTCACTCTTCGGCTGCCAACGACCACTACCGCTAACACCGAACACAGTGGCTTCGAGACGCCCAGAGTCTTATGAGTAGCATGGCAAGCAACTATGATATGCCCAGACTTGCAATGGGCCAATTAGCTGCAGGGCTGTCCGTGACAAGTGCCATCATATCCGCTCTTTTATCCAGTCCTAAAGAGCCTCGAGCTTCCTTGTCTTTTACACTTATCACTTTGGCATATGGCATCATGATGTTTGCCAGTAGTTACGTTGAAGAGGAACATCACTTTTGGTACTGGTCAACAACTGCCTGGCTAGCGTTCATAAGCAATAAGGGCTTCAACGGGTGAGCAATACGCGAGCTTGTTGCCGACGAGTGCTAAAACAATTACAGGATAACAAAGTCGAGAGTGAACCAATTTGTGGCCGTGGTTGTTGCCTTTATTGCGACGAGGCTTGTTAGGGGCTGGAACCAGACAGGGCAGAAATTTGCCGGAGAGCCTGATATTGTCAAAATCTTTCTGCAACCACAACCTGTCATAATCTGGGTGCTTGTGACAATTACATATATATGGGTTCAGCGCGAGCTCGTCCGCGGCTTCGATGCTCTTCCAACAGCGCTCAGTGGCATTGCAAACACAACTCTAGTTCTTGCGGCTTTCACCTTCAAGCTCGCTTTTACAAATGAGGATGCCCCTGAGCTTGTGGTAGGCTTCGCCCGATCGTTGGTCGAGATCACCCAGGGCGCATCGCTTGTCACCAGAGCTCGAGTGGTATTCATCGGTTTAGCGATTGACACTGCGTGTGCGGTCTACTTCATGATCACCAGGAGTCGGATATCGAAGAAGGCATCTGGTAAGCTGAAGAGTCTTCTGCATCCTTGTCAAAATTTTACTAATTATCTCAGCTATCGAGACACTGCATCACCTCTATACTCTACTAGCCATGACGCAATCTCGGGCTACCAACATTCCCCTATTCCTGCTCTTCGATATTCTGTTCAAGTTCCTTGCCGCTCAGGACCTCAGCTTAGTTCAGCTAAGCACGTCATCCCTCTTGCTACAGTACATGTCCTTCTTCGCTTTTGGAGGTACAAATGCCATCTCATCTGTCGACCTATCAAGCGCTTACAACGGCGTGAGCGGCTTTAACGTCGTGGCAGTCGGCGTGCTCACGTTCTTGAGCAACTGGGCTGCACCTATATACTGGACATCGGCAACAAGCGTTCTCCTGGCGAGGAAGAGAAAGGCAGGAGAACGAGACGTATACAAACGGCACATCACCATCTTAACGATATTCGTCGCAGCCAGTGTTGGCTTCGTCATGGCCGCGTGCACGGCTCTCAGAACGCATTTGTTTATTTGGACCGTATTCTCGCCCAAGTATCTTTACTGCATGGCTTGGAGTTTGGGACAGCATATCGTTGTAAATATAGGACTCTGTGGTGTCCTATTCTGGCTTGGGTCCTTGTAGATAGCAACAACATAGACATAAAATCGAATGCCATCAAAATTGTCAGTGTAGATGATATTATTGCAAACATTCAATAAAAGAACTTTACTGCAGCCTCAGCCAAGGCCAATTGTTCATCACAATAACCCGACAAATGAAAGCCAGAAATACACAAGTCATTGAATCCCAGTCATTACAATTCTCCATCCGTCAACAGCTCTTCAACCAGAGAGTCATCATCGTCCTTGACAGGAACCGCTGTAACGTCGCCCGCTTCATCCTCGTCTTCTTCCTTGATATCAGCTTCCAGCATTACAGTGCGATCCTGCACGATTGTTTTCTCCTCTGGGTCAACGGAGACGCTTCTGCTAGTAGTTCTGCGACCACCATTTTCTTGCTGATCCAGACTATTCACTATCTTGCCCAAGCTGACATGGATTTTGTAAAGCGCGTTTCTGCCAGTTGCGTCTGAGAGAAGCTGGTTGTCAACAGCTTCGGACACCTCAGCATAGATATCCCGGAGCTTCTCTTCGGAAGAAGCGGGCGAGACGTAAAGTTTGCCTAGTAGTGGCGCGATGACCTTTTTCTCTTCCTCTGCAACGGGGTTAGCACACATTTATATCAAATCAGTCGGAATGCTTTACTTACTGCTGAAGGCACCGTTAAGCCTTTCTAAAATCTCCTTCGCAAAGTCAAGATGAATATCTCCATTCACGTACTTCTTCTCGGAATCCAAGCCGCTGCTTGGGGAGAAACATTTCCGAGGATCTGTCCAGTCCACCAGACAGGCACCAATGGTAGACAGGCTAACCATTTCGTCACCGACATCGGCATCGTCGTCTTCAAAGCCTTCTCGTACATTGTAGAGGGCATGCAGAGCATCAAGAGCCACAGAGCGCATGAGTTCTTGGTTCTCTGGGCGCGAGTAACAGAATACGGGCAAGAAGTAGTTCAGTGCCTGCCTAACACTTTGGTTGCTGGAGCTCGCCGGTTCAAAATATGCGATGACAAGTGTCTTCAGCAGCTCAGCGGAGGTCTCATGCTCTGTGACAACACGTCCTAGCAATAGTTTGGAAGCGGCAACAGTGGCAGCAGCTTGTACTTCTGGCGACTTGGCTCCTGATCTGAGAGCCTTGATGTACACCTTCAGCAATGCTGGGTTGTTGGATAGAAGCTGGGCACCATGAACATTGAGAATATCTGTAAGAATCTGAAGCGCTGTGATCTGGAGGGCAGTGTGGCCCTTGCTGAAGAAGTGCATAAATAGCGTGAGATTCTCCTCCGCCAGAGATCGGTCGAGCAGAGAGCAGAGGCCAAGACACAGCAAGCCTCGCTCACGAACTGGGGCCTCGTGGCTGCGAACAGCAGGAACAACCAAATTGTTCAACATGGAAACAAGATGGTCGTTCTCCTGCAAGCTTCCAGCCACGTTAGAGAGCATGCACTGGACGATATGGAGGCACTTCATGTTAATAACAATCTCCTTGATCGCCTTCGCCCGCGCCTCCTCCTCGCTTAGTTCGCTGTCCTTGCTGCGTTGCTTGCCACCCTTAGTCGGCGTGCTGTCGTTGCTGACTTCTGACTTAGCAGAGTGGAAGCTTTCATCCACAAGATCATCTACGATAGTATCGTGGACATCTGCGACAGCTTCGAGAACAACACTGCAAAACTCACGCTCACCCGCAGCATCTGGGGCGCAGATATCACGGAGGACATCAATGGTGAGCTTCGTGACCTCATCCGGGAGTTCGGGAATAGACAACGTTTGTCGAAGCAAAGAGAACATTTTCCTACGGCCGACTTCATCCGAGTAGTCCAACGTCAGGGCGATATGCAGAAGCTGCTCGACGATAAACTCTTGCTCAACTGTGTCTTCTTCTTCTTCCTCCTCATCAACGTCTTGCTGCGAAGTCTGCTTCAGCGCATCGCTAAGAACCTTGACATATCTCTCAAGGAAGAAAGCAAGTTTGGTGACCTCGGGCAGCTTCTCCTCGACAAGAGACTCATATTTGCCGTTTCCTTCATTTCTGCAGAAATCATTGAAGCTTCGCGCCATGAAGACAGACTCAGCACTAAGGGTTTCCCAGAAGTTGTCATCAAATGTGACTGCTTCACGATAGTCAGGACGACCTTCCCAAAATCCCTTCATGGCCTCGAGAGCAACTCCATTCTCTACACCAGAGTTGACAACATCGATACGCTCAAGGAGCTCCAAGAGACCGTCAAAGTTCGGTGGAGCCGCTTCAGCCGGCTGGCCGTCAACCATCGGAGGTGCGCCTGCACAGTCCTCAATCCATCGCTCACGGAAAAGTCTGCCAGCCGCCTTTCGAACGGTTTCATCTCGATCTCGGAGACCCCATCGGAGAAGTTTCTCTCTCATAGAGAGAGAAAGGTGCCTGAAATCTCCAAGAGCCGGAAGCAAGCGAGAATAGACAGCGCGGCGTGTCATGGCATCCTGGTCTCGAGCTCTTTCTAGCAAGAAAGGCAAGGTGTTCGGCAAGATTGGTAGGTTGACCAAGAGAGACCTTCTAACGTCCGCACTGGGATCATTTTGGAGGACTTCGAGGAGCTTCTCGAGCAGTCCGGTCGCGGAGTCGTCATCAGAGTCATCGGAGTTGGCTTCTGCCTCCACCTGGTTACCTGCCAGCCGGCCAAGGCCGAGCACAGCCTGAGCTCGTACCATAGCTTCCTTATCACGTATTCTCTTCAGTAGTCCGTGACGTAACTTTTGGAACAGATCATCGTCGATCGCGTCGAGAGAGTTGATAATATGAGAAATGAGCTGAGTTGATCGATAGCGTACAAACTTGTCCTTGGCTGTGAGAAGAGGTAGGACCGAGTTCATCAAATGAGCCACAAGTCTGGTGGTGGGAGTCTCCGGCATGGTGCTAGCATCCTCGTCAACCTCACCCAGCAGCTCGTTATCTTTGTCGCCTGAATGGCGCAGGAACAGCCCGATGAATCTGATGGTCTTCTCCCCCACCGTCTCGCTCTTCTTGACAGGCATGATTCGTAGAACGGATCGGATGAACTCGCGATTGAAGTCCTTTTCATCGAAATCGGTAGCTGGGTTTGACTTGGCGCTGGTCGGTTCGTAGCAGCAGGCCTCCTGGAGTTTGCGTAGAGTAACCGCCAGCTTTCGGTGGGTGGCAGTATTTCGTTGCGCATCTCGAAATACCGATGCGACCTGTGATCGCAGTACGTTGTCCTCTGTTTCTTCAGGAATATCTAGGCTTGACGCCGAAGCTCGGGACGCGACGGAGGCTCTACCCTTGAGTGTCGCGGCTGATGACTTCTCCGAAAGCGCCGTGGACGCCCGTCCCGATCTCGTCGAGACGCGAGTAGGCATCGTGAGGTTTGAATCGATACTGGTGGGATATGTTTCTACACTCCTGTTATAAGTCGTCTTTGATGTGATGTTCCGGGGTAGTTGGCGCGTGTTTCGTACGATAGAGGTGGAGGGGGGCATACAATTAAGATATGACAGTGCTATCCACCTTACTGGGGCGCGCCAGACACCAAGACCCCCGTCCCGCATGTCAACAAAACATACTCCCACTTTGGGCTTAGCGCAATCAATATCAGCTCACGTGCGGATAACGATAAGCTTCTTATCAAGATTCAGGTGGGGCCAATTTTTTAATCGAAAGCTCGAAATCCCAGACTTTTTTCTCTTGCAGAATAGCAGACATTTTTCAATACTCTCCAAGCCAAAGGCCAGTGTACCAAGCCATGGCAAAATCGAAGGGCCAAAAGAGAAGAAGAGAGGCCGAGGCCGCGCAGGATCAGCAGAATGCTGTCTCTGACGATCAAACGGATCATCCCTCTAAAAGAACCCGGACTGAGAAGAGCAGATCTCTGTTCGTTAGGTCGCTCCCAGCAGCGGCTACCCAAGAGACGTTGACAGAGTTTTTCTCACAACATTATCCTGTCAAGCATGCTATGGTCGTTACTGACAAAGCTACTAAGCAATCTCGTGGCTACGGATTCGTTACATTCACGGATGCAGACGATGCCCTGGAAGCCAAGGCAAAGCTGGACAATGCGCTTCTGGACGGGCGTCGGCTCAAACTAGACATTGCCGAACCTCGTCAGCGTGCCTCTGGTGCTGCCGGCCCAGTTGAAGTTCGCTCTCGTCTTTCTGAGGAGAAGCAGAAACGAGAGGCGGACTTGGCGGAAGCCCGCAAACCAGCGAAACTCATCATTCGCAACCTGCCTTGGAGCATCAAGTCTTCGGAACAATTGACCAAACTATTCCAAAGCTACGGAAAGGTTAGATTTGCCGATCTCCCACAGTCAAAAGGGAAGCTCTCTGGATTTGGGTTCATTACCATGCGCGGCAGGAAGAATGCAGAGAAAGCTTTGGAAGGCATCAATGGCAAGCAAGTGGACGGAAGAACTCTGGCAGTTGACTGGGCTGTTGCCAAGGAGGAGTGGCAGCAACATCAAGGAGATTCTCAGAAGGACGAAGAGTGGGAAGATGTAGCAGACGAAGAAGCCGACGGCGACCTGCCAAAGAAGAAACGGACGGAGGCGAAGACCCCCAAGAAAAGCCCAGATGAGGATGATGAGGATGCAGACCTTGAGAACTTCATGCGCAATCACATGGAGAACCTTGAAGACGAAGAGGATAGTGAGAATGAGGATAAGGAGAACGAGGATAGCGAAGCAGCTGGGGATACCCCGAAAGCAGAGAAACCGAAACGCCTGACGGACAACTCAACAACGGCTTTCATTCGCAACCTCCCTTTCACTGCAACTGATGAAACACTCAAGGCCCATTTCACTCAGTTTGGAGCCATCCGGTATGCACGTGTTGTCATGGACCGTGCAACTGAGAAGCCGGCTGGCACAGGCTTTGTTTGCTTTGTCAAAGATGAAGACTTCAAGGCCTGCTTGAAGGGTGCGCCGCGACATCAATCAGTCATGACCAAGTCAAAGAAACATTCCGTTCTCCAAAATGAGACTGTTGATCAGGAAGGTAAGTATACAATTGAAGGCCGTGTGCTGCAAGTAGCTCCAGCCGTCAGCAAAGAAGAAGCTACACGGCTGTTCGAAGAGGGTCCAGGAGGCAAACGAAACCAAGACAAGGACAAGAGGCGGATATACCTATTATCTGAGGGAACAATTTCCAAAGGCTCTCCACTCTACGATTTGCTCTCTCCAAACGAAGTCAAGCTTCGAGAGGACAGCGCTAAGCAACGTAGAAAGCTTATCCAAGGCAATCCAAGTCTCCATCTAAGTCTCACCCGCTTGGCTATTCGCAACATCCCACGCAACATCGACTCCAAGGAGTTAAAGGCCCTAGCTCGAGAAGCCGTTGTGGGATTTGCCAAAGATGTCAAGGAAGGCAAGCGACAGCCTCTCTCGAAAGAGGAAATGAACAGAGCTGGTCAAGAAGACAAGGAAGCCGAACATCGGCGCAAGGAGAAAGGCAAGGGTGTTGTGCGCCAAGCGAAGATTGTGTTTGAGACAAAGGAAGGCTCCAAGGTTGCCGAAGAGACTGGTGCAGGCCGAAGCCGGGGTTACGGCTTTATCGAGTACTCGTCTCACAGGTGGGCGTTGATGGGTCTTCGATGGCTGAATGGACATGCTCTCAAGAATGAAGCTGGGAAGACAGTTCGTCTTGTAGTCGAATTCGCCATTGAGAATGCACAAGTTGTGGCTCGCCGGAAGGCTGCCGAAGAAAAATTTCGACAACGCGATTCTGGAGCGGGACAAGAGGGTTCCAAAGAGCAGGAAAGAGGGACTTCGGCTACCTCTAAGAACAACCGCAAAGGTGGCAAGGGCAGAGATGCAAAGTCCGTCACTAGGTCAGGAGAGAAAACGATCGAGACGAAGGACGAGGGAAAATCGAAGGACGCAGTTACCAAACTTGCCATGCGACAAAGAATCATTGGCAGAAAGAGGCTCACTCGCAAGAAGAAAGCCCAAACTCGTCGTGGTGCCTAATAATTCCGATATCAATAAACGGCAGAGACCGCTCTCACAGGGAAGAAGACCATCCCATTATATTAGCTTGAAAATACTGTCTCAATACCCGTACCTAGTCAGTAGCAATGTTTGGCCTCCTCGTCCACTATGCTTGATGACGTAGCACAACAGAGAGACGTATGGATCTCAGTGATGCTGCGTCATGTTAATGAAGATAGATATGATGCTCCGTTGACATCTTTGAGTGCCACTACACCTCCGCCAGGATAATA